CATATTAATAAAATTCAGAAGGACATCACTGATGGACAAGGAGGTATGTGACAGTTAAAACATATACTGAGATTAAAAGGATTACAAAAACAGACCCTTCTTAAAGGGTCGGTTTTTTGGTGACTAACCTATCCCGTCAACAACCACTGATCATATCATGGTTCCATCATTTATCACATGCAATAAATCCAATTCGCTTGAGGTTCTGCTCTCCCACTCTCCTCACTCCACCTTGCAGTAATTCATAGTTTAAAATGTAACTTATTTTTACAAACTTACACAGGAATTGTGAAGTTGTTTTTGCAAAAATATTATTTTTAATTATGGAGCAGTGGAACTGCAAAAAAGTGGAGTTATACTATTAACTGGAAGTATGGCCATGGGACCACAGATTGCTGAATTGTTGGAGTTGCATGATGGGGAGTTATGATAGCAGGAGGGATCATCCCAGTAAATAGCCACTATCCTTGATTGAATGAATGCTGTGGAAAAGTGGCTTCATATATTGTCCAACATATACATTACACCATACAAGCTTTTAGGGTAGTCATGGACTAGTTATTCATGAGCTGAGATACTTCCATTAAGGCTCCTTCTACACTGCCATATAATCCAGATTATGAAATCAGTTATTCCACACCATCTGCTTTGAACAGGATTATATGAGTCTACACTGCCATATAATCCAGTTTAAAGCAGATAATCTGTATTATATATGGCAGTGTAGAAGGGGCCTAAGGAAGTTTACCTAGCAAGGTAACAGCATCTCACCTTCCTCCTAGTGAATCTTTTATCTCGACTGCTTTTCTCACTTTTAATTATTTAAGAATATATTGACACTACCAGTGTATCTCCTTCTTGTACACTGAGATTTCTTATATATTGCTTGAAAGCATCAGACCCCCTGGAGAGTAGAGATAAAAATACTGGGGAGAAAATAATATGTCAGGGAGCAGATTCGGCAACTGGGACAGTAACAGGTATACCCTTTCTTCCTTGAATCTCATTCATAAAAATATAATAAATTCTACTCTAGATACAGAATAATTCATTCCATTCATTCTATGGCACATGCTGGCCTCTGATACTCTATGGCTATTGACCTCTGTTTCTACTCTTTATATAGCTAATCCGAAGACTCTTCCCATAAACACTTAGCAGTGCTTTCACCCATCATGTACAGTCAGTGTTCTTTGCAAGCATTCACATATCCACTCTTCTTTGTTCTTCCATTTCTTTAATTGAATTGCAGCTCCACGAAGATTGCTATGAGAATTCTAAAGAAATTGCTATAATTTCTATGCTCATTAGCTTTTTTCTCATTACAAGTTTCCCAAATGCTCCACAAATGAAGGCCATGTGATGCATTGCCAATAACTCATTTATAAGTTTTGGCAGTGATTACATTAGTGCTGGATTTGGGGGCTCAATTTTATTTTATTTATATTTCACTTAGAATCCAAAATGGGGCTCTGAGTGGCTTATAATATAAGTAAAAAATAGTTAAAACACTATGTGATAACAAAAGCATTTGTAGTCAATCCAATTAAAATATTGATGCATTAATTTTATACAATTATAACATATTCATAATACAATTAGTCTGGGGGCAATAGAAAAGACCCCACTTGTTTACTGGACTCTTTCAAACCTGGCAGTGCTGACAAGGGCAACTGATTAATCTCTTTCCAGGACAATGTTTCCGTCTCTGTTTTAAGGTGCAACATGTTTTCTCAAAATCCTTCAAACACCTTACATTTTCAAGGCACTATGTTAGTTTATTAGAACTATTTCCCATGAAGGTCCAATATTAGAAAAATCTCATTTTCAGTTCTTCTTTGCTAGCACCCACACTTTTGAATGCTTAAAGATATATTTGGCAGTGTTTAAACAGAAACACTATCCAAATGTTGTCTTTAATTATTGATTTGAGCAACAGATGCTGATAAAAGGCCTATATAAGAAGAGAACAATAGGTCTAACTTTATCCATGTGGCATACATTTCTGGCCAGACCACAGTTACCAAAAACCACAGGCATGACTCAACACTATTAAATTACCTGACTTCCAGTTTTAGACTAGGGCTCTTCCATACAGCCCTATATCCCAAAATATCAAGGAAAAATCCCACAATGTATGCATTGAACTGGGTTATCTGAGTCCACACCCAGATAATGTGGGATTTTCTGCCTTGATATTCTGGGATATAGGACAGTGTGGAAGACCCCCTAGATATTCCTACAAAGGCACATTTTAGGAATTCTCTAGGTCCACCTGAGTGACTCTGTAGTAATCTCTGGGGAAAGGATGCCATAGGATCATCTGGAGGACCAAGCACATTCCCTGCATGTGGGTAAGTGAAACTGTGAATATGGGCTATGTTTTCACAGAAGTCTTGGAATCCAGGAATGCTAGTTTTCACCAAGGTTAAGGAAACACTAGGTAGATTTTGGAACTGAACCACAAGTTTGCAGTCCTCATTAAGGACTTGGATAATATTCAGATGAGTTACCTGGCAGGGAAAAGCCCTTCCCCCATTGGCTTCTCTGCCTGCCCACCTCTCTCTTTCTATCCCCTGCTTGATAGGCCCCTTCTACACTGTCATATAATCCAGATTATCAAAGCCGATAACCCACATTGTCTGCTTTGAACTGGATTATCTAAGTCTATACTGCCATATAATCCAGTTCAAAGCTGATAATCTGGATTTTATATGACAGTGTAGGAGGGGTCTTATGGTCATAGAAACACTTGACATCATTTTTCAGAAATCTTGGAGAATCCTGGAGCCAGACCTCAATGGATAACAAGGGCCCACTGATTTCTACTTCATCCAATAAGTAGTTGAATTTTATTTGGTTATATTGGTAAAAGACTCTAGATAAATTACTTTTGGCTGTACAGAATACTGTTAATCACTAAAGAAACAAACTATGCCTAACAGAGGAAAGGCTCCCAATAAAGAATTAAGTGCAACAATGCTAATCAATGGCTGGAAAAACTGATATTGACTGCACAGGCTGTAATATTCATCTGTGGCTAGATCTACACTTCCCTATATTCCAGGATCAGATCTCAGATTATTTGGAAGTGTAGACTCATATAATCCAGTCCAAAGCAGATAATCTGGGATCAGATCCTGAGATATAGGGCAGTGTAGATCCAGCCTAGTTGAGTACAATCCACAAGAAATTCCAGTTGGGTTTCTGACACTGTAAATCAATGCAATTTGACAGCATTTGAACTGCCAGGGCTCTATGCAAGGGCTCGGTCTTGGGTCTGGTGAGGCACACTGTGAAACGACAACTCCTATGACTTCTTAGCTTGAGCTATAGCAGTTCAAGTTGTGTAAAACTGCATGAAAATTTTCCCGTGGCTTAAAACCACAAGAATCAGCCATATAACCTAGAATATCAAGGCAGATCATCCACAGTATCTGCTTTGAACTGGGTTATCTGAATCCACACGGCCATATATTCCAGTTCAAAGCAAATAATATGGGATTTTATATACAGGGTGAGGCATCATAACTTCCTTTTTTAAAATGTGCGCCATTTAGTCGGTTGAAGACGTAGCGGAGCGCTAGTGGTCTCGTTCGAGAGGCGGGAGTACGGGAGCATAAAGTTTTGTCCTGACACAGTTCAGCAGCCATCATGCATTGGAACAGTGAGGAGTGTGCTTTTGCCGTTGAGGCCTACTTTTTGAGTGGATTTGGAGTGGCCGGCCCGCTCTCCAGATTTGGCCCCTTGTGATTTTTTTCTATGGGTTTTTTTTTTTTGAAATCCCGTGTTTATGTGAACCGTCCAAGGACCCTACAAGATTTGAAGACCAACATCCAGGAAGAAATTGCCAACATAACGCCTGCTATGCTGGCAAGAGTCATGACAAACGCCAGAAATCGATTTACTCAGTGTATTGAGAATGAGGGACGTCACCTACCTAATTTGATCTTCAAAACTACGTAAAACAAAACTTTAGGTATGCGCCTACAATATAAAAAAAATAAAAATTTCTGATTCATACAATGGTTTTATTAAGTTTTGAAAAAAGGAAGTTATGCTGCCTCATCCTGTAGCTGTGTGAAAGGGCCAACAGATTATCTGTTTATTGCAGATTAAACGGCAGTGGAGACTCAGGGCCCTTCCACACAGCCATATAACCCAGAAGATCAAGGCAGAAAATCCCACAATATTTGCTTTGAACTGGGTTATCCGAGTCCACACTGCTATATATACCAGTTCAAAGCAGATAATGTGGAATTTTATTCAGCTGTGTGGAAGGCCTTAGGACCACTTCCAATATCAAGGCAAAAAATCCACCATATCTGATTTGAACTGGGTTATCTGAGTCCACACTGCCAGATAATCTAGTTCAATGTGGATGTTATATAGCTGTGTTGAAAAGACCTCATATAATCAAGTCCAAAGCAGATAACCTGGGATCACATCCCAGGATATAAGGGCAGTGTAGAAGGGCCCTTCCACACAGGTCTATATCAAGGCAGAAAATCCCACAATACTTGCTTTGAACTGGTTTAGCTGAGCCCACACTGCCCTATATCCCAGTTCAAAGCAGGAAAAGTGGGATTTTCTGCCTTGATATTCTGGGATAGAGGCCTGTGTGGAAGGGCCCCAAGGCTCCCGCCTTCACCTCACGGTTCCCGCGCCTGGAATTTAAACCGCGATGGCGTCACGCCTGGGCTAGTGGCGCAACGGAGCGGCTACGCGATGACCAGAAGGAATCCTCCTTGGCTTTTTTCCCTGGAAGACCTCTGGCTCGGTGGATGTCCTCTTGTTGAGAGAGACGCGGGAAAAAGAGAGTGAAACGCCGCTTCCCGCGCTGCCTATGAGTGTGTGTGTGTACCCCGGAACCTCTCCGCCGCAGCGCCAGTGTTGCACCCACGGACGGTGTTCGGTGTGACACCGTCCGGGCTGCGGGGCATTCTGGGGGCCCGCGTTTGAAAACCGTTGCCGTTCCCCCCGTGTCTCCCCCCCCCTCACCTCTTTCGGCGGATTCCACTAAAATGGCGCCCTAAGTGAGGGGCTGAGCGTGGCGGGGAGAGGGCCTCGGGAGCGGGGAGGGCCCGTGAGCGGGGGCGCCGAGGCCGGGATGGCCAGCCCCGACCAGAAGTCGCCCAACGTCCTCCTCCAGAACCTCTGCTGCCGCATCCTGGGCAAAGGCGAAGGTAACCGCGCTCGGCCTCCCCGCCTCTCCCTCCCCTTCTCCTCCTCCTCCTCCTCCCAGGTCCGAGGTCTGGCCGGCCTTCCCGCCTCTTCCCGCGCAGAAAGAGGGGAGGCATGGGGTGTGTGCTCGCCCCCCTCCTCACATGCACATCTCTCCATCCTGTCAGAAGTCTCGCCCAAAGTGGGCAGCTCTCCATCCTCTAGCTAGGCAGTCCCCACAAAATATACAGCTTTCCATCCCAACACAGGGTGTTTCCCCCGCCTTCCACATGGGCGACTTCCCACCTCAGCTCTCAAGAGTGAGTGACAGGCCCAGGAATACAAGCTGACCCCAACCCCAAGGTGCAGCTCTCCGTCCCATCAGGAGCATGGCCTGCAGGAATTCAGGAACTCCTCCAATCCCCCCCGATGGACAACTCTCCATTCCGTCAAGAGTGATGGCTGCAGGAATACAGCACCCTTAATAGGGAAGTAGAGTGCCCTCTATACATAGCTCTCCATCCCATCAAAAAGGAATGCCTGCAGGAATAGAGCCCCCGCCTCTCCCCCAAATGGACCAATCTCCATCCCAGCTCCCTATCCTGTCAAGAGTGATATCCCTAGGAATACTAGGACTTGTCCTCCTAAATGTAAATCTCTCCATCCCATCAGGAGCATGTCCTGCAGGAATTCAGGAAGACCTCCAATCCCCCCCAATGGACAACTCTCCATTCCGTCAAGAGTGATGGCTGCAGGAATACAGCACCCTTAATAGGGAAGTAGAGTGCCCTCTATACATAGCTCTCCATCCCATCAGAAAGGAATGTCTGCAGGAATGCAGCCCCCTCCTTTCCCCCAAATGGACCATCCTCCATCCCAGCTCCCTATCCTGTCAAGAGTGATATCCCTAGGAATACTAGGACTTGTCCTCCCAAATGTACATCTCTCCATCCCATCAGGAGCATGTCCTGCAGGAATTAAGGATGCCTCTCCCCCAATGGACAACTCTCCATTTCATCAAGAGTGATGGTTACAGGAATAGAGCACCTTTAATAGGGATGTAGAGTGCCCTCTCTACACAGCTCTCCATCCCATCAAAAAGGAACGCCTGCAGGAATGCAGCCCCCTCCTTTCCCCCAAATGGACCATTCTACATCCCAGCTCCCTATCCTGTCAAGAGTGATATCCCTAGGAATACTAGGACTTGTCCTCCCAAATGTACATCTCTCCATCTCATCAGGAGCATGTCCTGCAGGAATTCAGGAAGCTCCCCCCACCCAAATGGAAAACTCTTCATTCTGTCAAGAGCAGTGGCTTCAGGAATACAGCACCCATAATATTTATTTATTTATTTGCTTTATTTCTATACCGCTTTTCTCAGCCCGTTAGGCGACTCAGAGCGGTTTACATAATAAAGGTTATCACAACAGTATCATAGGCAATAAAACACATTATACATAACAGACAAAATCAAAAAACAATCATTATCATAACGCCTCAACAGCAAATCAGAATCCGTTCTCATAATCCTTTGTACCATTTTCCTATGTTCGATTGTACCATCTTCCTGTATTCAGTTGCACTGTTTAGCCAAACGCTTGTTCGCAAAGCCAAGTCTTAACCTTCCTCCGGAACGCCAACAGCGAAGGGGCCTGTCTGATGTCTACAGGTAGGGCATTCCACAGCCGAGGGGCCACCACCGAGAAGGCCCTGTCCCTCTATATAATAGGGATATAGAGTGCCCTCTCTACATAACTCCCTCCATCCCATCAAAAAGGAACGCCGATTCTCCATCCCAGCTCTCTATCCTGTCAAGAGTGATATCCCAAGGAATACAAGGACTTTCCCTTCCAAATGTACATCTCTCCCATCAGGAGCATGTCCTGCAGGTCTACAGGGTATTTCCCCAAAAAAGTACAGCTCTCCACCCCAGCTCTTCACCATACCAAGAATGATATCCCTGGTAGTACAGCTCCCTTCCCTTCATTCTAGCAAGAGTTAATCCCATTTATTTATTTATTTGTCGTGTCATCCGCAACCAGAACATTGTATTACATTTCTAACAGAACAAAACAATCAAACAGATAAAAAAACCCACAAATTTTGCAAACTTGGTAGCTGATTAAATGTCCTTTGACCAGTATCTGGCCACTTGGAGTGCCTCTGGTGTTGCCGCAAGAAGGTCCTCCATCGTGCATGTGGCAGGGCTCAGGTTGCATTGCAGCAGGTGGTCAGTGGTTTGCTCTTCTCCACACTCGCATGTCGTGGATTCCCTTTGTAGCCCCATTTCTTAAGATTGGCTCTGCATCTCATGGTGCCAGAGCGCAGTCTGTTCAGCGCCTTCCAAGTCACCCAGTCTTCTGTGTGCCCAGGGGGGAGTCTCTCATCTGGTATCACCCACGGATTGAGGTGCTGGGTTTGAGCCTGCCACTTTTGAACTCTCGCTTGCTGAGGTGTTCCAGCGAGTGTCTCTGTAGATCTAAGAAAACTATTTCTTGATTTAAGTCGTTGACGTGCTGGCTGATACCCAAACAAGGGATGAGCTGGAGATGTCTCTGCCTTGGTCCTTTCACTATTGGCTGCAACTTCCCGGCGGATGTCAGGTGGTGCAATACCGGCTAAGCAGTGTAATTTCTCCAGTGGTGTAGGGCGCAGACACCCTGTGATAATGCGGCATGTCTCATTAAGAGCCACATCCACTGTTTTAGTGTGGTGAGATGTGTTCCACACTGGGCATGCGTACTCAGCAGCAGAGTAGCATAGCGCAAGGGCAGATGTCTTCACTGTATCTGGTTGTGAACCCCAGGTTGTGCCAGTCAGCTTTCGTATGATATTGTTTCTAGCACCCACTTTTTGTTTAATGTTCAGGCAGTGCTTCTTGTAGGTCAGAGAACGGTCCAGAGTGACTTCCAGGTATTTGGGTGCGCTGCAATGCTCCAGTGGGATTCCTTCCCAGGTAATCCTCAGAGCTCGGGATGCTTGTCTGTTCTTAAGGTGAAAGGCACATGCCTGTGTTTTAGATGGATTAGGGATCAGTTGGTTTTCCCTGTAATAGGCAGTTAGAGCACCTAGAGCTTCGGAGAGCTTCTGTTCCACCATCTCAAAGCTCCCTGCTTGGAATGTAGGATTGTAGACTGCCCCCTTCCCGAATACACAGCTCTCTATCCCATCAAAAAGGAACGCCTGCAGGAATATAGCCCCCTCTTCCCCCATTCGCCATCCCAGCTCTCTTGTCCTGTCAAGAGTGATAGCCCTAGGAATACAAGGACTTGTTCTCACATCTCATCAGGAGCATGTCCTGTAGGGCTACAGGATATTTCCCAAAAAGTACATTTCTCCACCCCAGCTTTTCACCATGTCAAGAATTATATGGTGTATGGTGGGATTACAGTCCCCGTCCCCCGCCATACACAGCTCTTCATTCTGGGAAGAGTTATTCGCATAGGAATGTAGAGTGCCCCCCTCCCTGAATATACAACTCCCCATCCCATCAAAAAGGAACACCTGAAGGAATACAGCCCCTCTCCCCCCAAATGGACAATTCTCCATCCCAGCTTCCTATCCGGTCAAGAGTGCTATCCCTAGGAATACAAGGACTTGACCCTCCACCCCATCAGGAACATGTCCTGCAGGGCTACAGAGTATTTCCCCAAAAAGTACAGTTCTCTGGCCCAGCTCTTCACCATGTCAAGAATGATATCTCTTGGTTTATAGTCCCTCTTGAAACTCAGCTATTTATTCTGGCAAGAGTTATTCCCATAGGACTGTAGAGTGTCCCCCTCCCCCAATATACAGCTCTTCATCCCATAAAAAAGTAATGCCTGCAGGAATACAGGATGTCCTTGCAAAAATGGACTATTGCCCATTCCATTGAGAGTGATGCCTGCAGGAATATAGCCCCCCTCCCCCAAATGGACAGTTCTCCATCCCAGCTATCTATCCTGTCAAGTGTGATATCCCAAGGAACACAAAGTGTGCCCCACCCCTCAAATATACATTTCTCCATCCCATCAGAAGCATGTCCTGCAGGAATACAGCATATTCCCCAAAAAGGTGCAGCTCTCCACCCCAGCTCATCGCCATGTCAAGAATGATATCCCCGGGATTACAGTCCACCCCAATACATATCTTTTCATCCTGCCCAGTTATTCCTATAGGAATATAGAGCCCCCCCCCCCGCAAATACACAGCTCTCCATCCCATCTAAAAGTAATTTCTGCAATAATACAGAATTCCCCCCCCCCCCACCAATGTACACTCTCCATTCTGTCAAGAGTAATAGCTGCAGGTATACAGCTGCCCCAGTAGACAACTCTCTCCCAGCTCTTTTCTGCAAAGAGCGCTATCCCTAGGAATGCATGTTGTTCCTCCAAAAGGAACAACTCTCTGTCCTATCAAAAGTAATTCCTGCAGGGATATAGGGTGTCCACTAAAAAAGTACAATCACTGTCCCAGCTTTCAAGTTTGATACCCTTCAGAATATAAGGTATCCCCCCAATAAATAAATTGTGCAGTTCTCCATCCCATCACAAGTGATGCTGCAGGAAAACAGGGTGTCTCCCAAGAAAGTACAGAGTGTTTCAAAAAGATGAGCCCAATTTGAAATTATTATAACTCTGCAACCATAAACCACCCATGAATGAAAATGTTTCCTCTTGAAAGGGCAAGGCTTAGAGTTCCCAAGGATTACTACTAGATGCGCACAAACAGCCCCTAGCCTCAGTCATTTTCAAAATGGGTACCCAGAAACGAAAGGTCTAATGAGGTATTCTCTATTTGCAGAGTTGTTTTTTATTGGGTTCTTGTTCAAAATGGTTAGTAAAACTTGATAATTCATTAAACTTTTTGTAACTTTTTGTGTTATTGTAAAATATTGCCATCATGAAATATACTGCCTTGAAATTCGGTCCATTATTTTGAAATGCCCTGTACAGCTCTCAGTCCCAGCTCTCCTTCCTATCTCTCCATCCTGTCAAGAGTGATATCCCTAGGAAAAGAGGGTGCCCCCCCCAATGTACAGCAC